TAAGAAAGCCTTTTTTTTTTTTTTTTTTCCAACAGGTACTGTGTTTGCCAAGGAGTACATATGCTGCTGATAATTAAGTGACTGATGAAATGTTGGAATTTATATAAAGGGCAAAATTCTTTTAAACCCCTTTGGTTAGACTATTCTGCACATCACCCATATGTCGTTTTAAAATGTGCACATTACTCTTTTATATTGGATTAAATTGCAACTGTTTTAAATTCCGTCAATTTGAACAGATTTTGTGAACACGCACTCAACTTTAGAGTGGGAATGATATTTTTGTAGTTCAAAGTTAATCTCTAACTTAAAAATACAAAGATGCCTTGAAATTTAAAAAACAAAAAACACCCTCCATTCTCATGCATTCATTCTCTCTCCCCCCCCCCCCCCCCCCATATATCACCAATGGTATTAGTAGTTCAATTTAGTCCAGTAACATAAAGGGGTTACGTGCATATTTTGAAACAATAAGGGGTGATGTGCAAAATAACCTAACCACAAGGAGGTGTTAAAAGAAATTCTCCCTTATTTAAATATGGTGGTTGTTTACTAACTGTAGCATTGCAACAATTATATGGCTGTGAGGCAATAAACGACACGATTCGTATATATTTGGACGGTACACCTAAAATTCACTGCCCGAGTAAGAAGATGAAGAAGTCACATCAAAATCGTGATTCACACAGATATTCATTTTCATAACTCAACTGAAAATGAGAGGGGTTTCATGTGTTTCTGATGAAAGTTTCGTATTTTCATCAGTTTTAAAGAAGTTTATGTGGCCATACAGCCAAGAAATCTGTCAGTCTCAATGGAGTACTACATATAACCACAATTTGAGAATTTGACAGTATGAGGTGGTGTTTATGCTTATCCATAACCCCGTTCTTTTGGAACTTACGATCACAACATAAATTTAAAATGTGTAACTATGTACATACAAACAATACACATTAAATTAACTAGAAGATCTCTTGTCGTATTCAAACTCGAGACCTCAAATCACTAACTCTTAAAATATATCTATCGATTCAAATTATACAAAAGAATGAAGGAAAGGTGATCAAAGAATGGGGGGTGGCTCATTTCAGTGGCTCTTCTCCATTTAGAATGGCCAAAACTCAACAAACCCAATGTCTCTTCTAACAAAAACAAGAATTCATCAATGCTGCCTCGTCTTTTATGCCACAAGGACCCAGATGTTGCCCACAGTCATTGCTTTAAATGACTTGTCCTAGTGCCCCAGGCACAGAAGAGATAGTGTCCTTCAATTGAACAAATGCCAACAACTTTCTATGGGTGTATCAAGATTAGGGCTACTAATCCTTAATATAATCCATCAATTTAACACAAAATCAAAATCAAAATCAACATAACTAAGTACTTATGGCTTTAGTTTTCACGGATTCAGATCATAATTAGTTGACGAACTATGTAATTGAAAACTGAATCAACATGAACTTAAAATATAAATTACTATAAATGAATTGGACATGGACTAAACAAATTTGAGCATGACAAGACTTAAAAACATAACTCCACTATAGCCAAGAAACTAATTTTGGAAATCAAACACTACTTATTCTTATTACAAAACATATGTTATTTCTATTTGAAGTTGCTCATATTGGGCTTATAAAGATTTATACCAAAGAAAATTTAGAAATTACAACTGAAAATTTTCTCCAGTATATTTTTTATATAGATGCACAGGTAATTTCCTGCAATGAAGTGAGATAGCTGGACCACGGTGAATATTGTGTGATTTGTTTCTACAACAGAGAACAGTGTCGGAAAAGAGCCAGAGGTATGTCCGACTTATTTCCTCCGATGCCTAAGTCAGAAGGAACTCAAAGGAAGGATAAAACTTTTACTCTGCGAATTGCTCGTGAATGCGTACATGAGACCTCGGTTCTTGAGGATATTTATACCTTCCAATGAGGTGATGTAGTAATATAGACGTCCCATCAAGCCACTTGAGGGAGTGTTCAAAGGTGTAATCATCGATGAGCTACACTCCTCTCGAGCTCTACTTCTATAATGATTATAGTAGCTTGGGATGTCAAGTACTAAATGCACGTTCCCTTAACATTTAATGATCTTTACAAGTTATTTATTGAGTTGTGTCGAGTACGCATTACTTACTCACAATCACTGAATACACCTTCTCTCAAGAGATCGGCATAAGTCAGGATCATGCTTTCATTCAGATTTCCTGAGATTGTAATGCAGAGTGATCTGACCAGTCAATGAGAGTAATTATTCCTCTGACATATCACGTCATGATGGGCCTACATTCTCGTCTAGTGTTAAATGCTCGGCCCCGTATACCTATTGCAACTGACCACAATGTTGCCGTTACTCTCGGATCACAATCTCAAGACTAATTAACCTTTTCGATGCTTTACTATTTAGGTTCGCCTGTCAAACTCTGATAGAAACATCGTTTTGTCAATATATTATAACAAAGTGAGACACAAAATTAATGATACATGACTTGTGGAAGCCCCCATTGTTCTCCATTATATACTTCTATATACAGATTATTTAATTATTTAAATACCCAGAATGTCAACAACCTACAATTAAATAATTGGATCCTTCAACCATTTTTATAATGGTTTTGGATCATTGTAATTAACTTGCTAATTGCAAGCAACTTAGCTTCATTAGTCAGCCGGAGCTCGTGTTACGATCATCCTAAAGCATGTGCCACGGAATCCCATTCATATACAACAATGTCAAACCTACCGCGAATCACGATATCTATTTATATGCTAAGAATTTGTCTCACTCACATCCATGTACAATAATCTTACAAAGAGGAGATTCAGAACCATCAAGTTAGTTTGAATGACAGTGACTTAGTAGATAATATCTTGAGATTCAAACTTCAATTCACTAGTGATATTCCTAGAGCGGTAGCTCAGGGCTTCTCTTCAAAGACGCTTTAGAGATTAGGGGCGAGAGCAATCAAACAACCTATTGAGGTTAGGTCATGAGAAATTTATATCTTATGAATATCTTAGTTTCAGCGTGTATTGTCTGTCTTTAACCGGATCGAGGAGGGGATTAGTTGAGGTATGCTTAAATTGATCAAAATACTTCTGAACGTTCAACCAAAAAAAAAAAAAGATAATTCACTAAGAAAAAAATATTGGAATGATATCAATTTTAACATTAATATCCCAATTGTGGAGCAAAATATTGTACACTGTTTGCATTAAAGTTAGCAGTCCTAAGGAAGATTATACAAATAATCACGTGACTAAAGCAATTTCATCGAAAATATGTTTGTGAACTGGTATGCCTTAATTATGGAGAAATTTTTGTGTAGGTTTATTAATTATGATACTTGGTACTTTTTAAATACTATACAAGCTTACGCAATGATTACATATTAGATCAAACAAATCTTATTTACGTGTGTATGCAAGTAAACTAATGTGACGCAACACCGAAGGGGTTGTCACGTGTAATTACATTTAATGATCTCACATGATGGTGACAAGACCAGTCACATGAGAAAGGTATTATTAGTCAATCATCAGTCAACGGCCGAGTTGTTCAAAGAGCTCGGGACGAAAAAGAAGAGTTCGGCGCTTGTCATGACTGGGTTGTTAAAACAGTAAACGTGATGCTAAAAAGATGCCTGAAACTTAGGTATTTTGGTTAAATAAATGGCACGATTATAGGCTCAGCAAAAAGAATTGCTAGAGAGATCTCAACAACTTCTCAAATAAAATCACCGGATTAAAAGAAAGTGTACCACCTTAAATCGAAAATCAAAGAAATCCTAACTAAGCGAATATCTATAAAAGGCATAAAGAGTCAAGATGAAAGGTATGCTGAACTCTCCTTGTCTTCTTGCAATTGACTCAATTTCATTACTAATTTAAACATCGAAGTACCTTCGAATAAAAGACTAGAAGATCAAGTTCAGAACTCAATTTTATCAAAAATATCCATTCTTCGTTCCTATAGGAGTTATCCTCATTTTTTGCCTCTTACAAACACCATTGTGATTCATATTAGAGTTTACCACTGTATCAGTATGACTATGACAGATTTTGGGTTTATATTTTCTATTCAAATTAATTCCTTGATTATCTCTAGCTTCAATTTCGGATAAAAGTGCACGTGTCACAGCATAAAAAATTCATAATTGCATAAAAGATGGCTTATAATTCCTATCTGCTTTGACAGCTTTTTTTCTTTTTGTGGTTGTGGTGAGGGTAAAAAAGAAAATGGGACAAGGTTAGAACTCGCAACCAACTATAGTCAAGCATAAGTCATTACCATTTGGCCGCTCTCTCATACTTGCAACCCATATGTCATCCGATATAACATGTTCTTATTCGTATTGATCATTTATCATGAATTTAATTAAAATAATAATACATGGACTTAAAAAGTAAATTAAAAAAGTAGACTTGATAATTATAATAATTGATTTCATTGTAGGTCTCAATATTTATCGGAACGCACTATCTATTCAACGATTATGATTATCAAGTTTATTTTTTTTAATTTGTAGAAAATTAATCATTTAATTAAGGTCTAACATTTATAAGTGAGTACTTAAGTAATATACAAGATAAAAAAGTAGAACCAATGGAACAAGAGACGGTATGTTTGACTTTGATTGAAATGGTGCTAAATATCATGGTAAGCTCTTGGAACCGGACCTGAGGACGTATAACTAACTAGAGGAGGAAAGTACATAGTGAGAATAGAAAGAACAAAATAATCATGAATCAATCAAAACCTTTCCTTTCGACGTGGTTATGGAGCATATATTTGTTTATACTTTTTCGTTAAAAATCTTTGTTTTCTTCATTTTAACTTATTCTAGTATTATTATCTAAGTAATATTTAGTCAAGGAATTAATACTAATATAAATAGATATTAGATTTTGAAAGAAAGCAAAGACATCATTCTAATCACATACTTAATTGAATCGTCAACCACATTATGTTCTAGCTAGTGAAGGTTAGGTAAATTCAATGTTGTCGTAACAAGCCCTCAAACCTTCTTGACATAACACTCTCTGTCATTTCCGTCTGTTCATAAAAATCGTCCACACAATGCAACCACGGCATTGAAATTGAGTAGTCCCACCCATCACCCACCGAGTCAACAAACACAAAATCATCCCTCGTCGGCTCAACCGAGTCATAACTCGTCTCAAGACTCGGCAGCTCCACTATCTCACTCAGTAGCTCCTCCGTCGATAAGTCCTCTGATGAAGTCACCGTTGAAACCAACGACGAACACGATGATGGCGACGGCATCTGCCGCTGATTGAGGTGGTCCATTGAGGCAGCTTTGGCAGCTGCTAATTGTACGTCACGTGCCGAGCACGTGGCGGGTCGAGGTAGTGACTCGGCAAGTTCGGGGAAGTTGAGGATCGCCGAGGTGCCTTTGATGGATAGGGCGGCAACGTCGTGGGCCCGCGCTGCCATTTCTGGTGTGGAGAAGGTTCCGAGCCAGATCCGAGACTTCTTTCTGGGCTCTCGGATCTCTGAGACCCATTTTCCCCAAGCTCTCATTCGAACACCTCTGTAGATCGGGTGTTTAGTGCTCTTGGTGTTTGTGGCGGTGGTGGCGCAGTTCTCTCTACTTCGTCTAGGGCGTTTGGGATTTGGGTTTGCTGTTTTAGGCTGTTTTGTTAATGGTTTTGGACCAGATGACAATAAGGGTGATGATGGAGTGAGAGAGAATGAGTCGCTACTTGACTCGGTCGCCAAGTTTGGTGGCTCAGCCATTTGAAGTAATCTCTTAACTAATCAGTCTGGTTGTTCAATTCAGAAAGATGGTTTGGTGTTTTAAGTTGGACAAGAGAAGCTGAGAAGTGGATGGCTAATGAAACTATATATGCATTACATATATGTGTTTTATATTGAGAGAGAGAGTGAAAGGAAGGGGGCGCGGAGTTACTGTGTTTAGGAAGTAGAAAGAAGAGACCTGGAGACAACGAGGAGATCCTTCAAAACCGACTTTGCCTTTTACCCATCATTTCATAATGACAAGCGCACAAACAGAGGGAAAGAGAGCATTTAGAAATACAGATCCATACAACAATCACACGCACAAATATATATATATATATATATATATATTTATTATCAATCTAGAGAGAGAGAGACTTAATAGACAAGCAATAATTGGGTTAGGGTTGGATTAGAGGATAGTCAAGTCTGAAATGGTGAAAAGAGTTTCCCTAGGATCATCGATCACACGCTAATGGCCACCCAGCTGAACAGCCGTGTGTTGTGAGACTTCTTTTATGGAAGTTCCCCGGTATAAAAGGTTTAGGTTGTTTTAGCTCTATCCATCTCATTAAAGTCTACTCTGGCTTATAAAAAATATTATTTGAATTTAATTTAAAGTCTACTATGAAAATAAAGGGGTTATATGTACTGCACTATGATGGAGGGATACAGTGGCATGGCTTTGTAAGGATAGATGGCCAATTCGTGGCACGAGTCTCTTGCCAATACGAAATTTTAAAAAATTCAGATGTACAAAACATTGATCTTACATGTGAAGAGATTGTTCCCCAAATCCACCAACCAAGGCCTGCCTCAGTATTTAATAAGGATAAATGATATATATTTGTTAGTCTTGTTAGTCCTATGCACATAGACATACATGTTTGATACTTTAGATAATGGGCTGGGTTCGAGTGGCATTTCACCCCTAATCACAACTCATCCGCTGATTCTTCAATATCAGTCGGTTCGGACCTTCACTTAGTTTCATCCAAGCTTCATCCTGGTCATGAATAGATCACCCAGGTTCGGGTCCATAAGCAGTGACAATTGCCCTATGAAGACTCGTTTTCGCTACGGCTCCGGTGGGTTCCCTTAATCAAGCCACTGCTTATGAGTCGCCGGCTCATTCTTTTCCCCTTGATGTCATTCTTGACTGTGTTGCAAATGTCTTTTGCAATAATTGCAACCTCTTTTTGAAGTTTTGGAAAAACAAAAAAGCTCCATCATAGACATCTAGGGTGTGTTTGTTTGTAAGGACAAAAGTAATATCACCGGCAAGATTGGATAAAAAAATCCGGAAGCCCACATATCCCAACGTTGGGTTTGGCATTCCCAAACGTTGGGCTCCAATTACTTGGGCCGTATGAAATAGGGAAGATATCCAACTTGATTTGAATACATGAAACCCATGTTGACTTTGGGATTCAGAAGCCCATCGGCTGGATAAGAAGGAAAATGACTAAATTGTCATTAAAGAGTAATGTTAGGTAGAGTTTTTACCCCCTTTTCCTTCTCTTTCGGCTGGTCCCTCCACTTTGACGACAAAGGCGCCAACTGTCCCCTTCCAAAGCCAAAGGTAAAAAATCTTTTTCTCTCTCTTGTAGTTATCGTCTTCTTGGAAACATTCTCTGTATTTTTTAATGCATTATTTACATACTTTAAGCTGGTTTTTTTGGGGTGAAGCAGTAGATGCTTCACAGAAGAAAATTTACAATCGCCTAATTTTTTTTTTTTGTTTGAATTGCGGTGATTAAAGTTCCAGAGCAAGTGCTCTGTCTCTTTATCTTCTTCTCTTCCTCCATGGATAATGTCTGAAACATTGCTGGTTTGAGGCTGTATTTTGTCGAAATTTGTACAATATATATACTGTGAAGTCAATCGTCAAAAACTCCAACCATAAGAGGGGAAAAAACTTCTATCCTCTTTCAATGCCCCAACAAACTCAAGAAAGGATTCCAGAGGCCTCCATATTCAAGAAAAACGCATTAAGAAGACCCTCATCCCAATAATAAGATCATCAATCACTACCCACGGAATATAAACCTATTCCATCATTAGAGACGACCAAAACAGAGCAGTTCTTGAAGAAAAATTCACTCATTACAGGAAACAGAGTAATTGAAACCCTAGTAGCGAAAACCATAACAAAGGGTAAAATATAACTACCCGCAATAAAGAAACCAACAAAATCTAGGATTTGACCAACCCTGAACTACCAAATTGACAACAACTCTCGCCGCCTCGTGTTCTTATTGCTGAGTAGTGAGATTCAGCCTTTGGGATATACGTGAAAATTTATAGAGGGAGAAAGCGGAAGTTTCAATTGCTCTAGAGAGAGAGAGAGTTCTATTGGCAAGTCTTTGGAGAGAGGCGGTACGTATCTTGGTGTGAGTCACAGAGAGAGAACCGGAAACGGACTATCACTTTGCTTGCGCCGTAGAGAGGAAGAACTTTGGGAACAGATTTGAGAGAGATAGTTATATTTATATATTAGAGGGAGGAAGGCTCTGTTTTGTCTGTTGTGTTTGTGTTCTTGGTTAAGTTTATGCTTTTTGTGTTTTGGTTCAACCCTATTATCTCTTGTTGCTTAACTTCTACTAAATACTGATCCTAATCCATATACATGTGGATAACCTATGTCATGTTTGGCATGCTTTATTATTACTGTTATGTGATTTGCTTTCAAACTTCCATCCACAGTCTAACAAATTTTTATGGGAAAAAAAAATCGAAGTTTGGTCACATTTTGCGTAGAGCAATGTTATTTAAATTTGAAAATTAACAATTGATGGGACTCATTAACAATTTAAATGTCATAATGAATTAGGTCAATAAATTAAATTTCAATAACATTATTTTTTTGATATATTAGAAGGAATTTGTGCTATGCACCGAATTGACAATTCATTTACCTCTCCCTCTCCTCTCTTATCTTTTCCCTCTACCACCTTATGCCCCACCTGAAAATTTCAAGAAAAATAAAATGGGAATAAACAAATTAGTAATTTTTTGGACACTAGCAATGCAGGACGTGCGTTGTACGTGAATATATTTAAATAACACTTTTCATAAGAAATTCAAATTATATATGTAATTAAATTGAATCATAAATTATGTGTAAAATAATTAATTCTTATTTTTTATGTATTGTTAAACTTAATTATTGATATATTATACCCTTATTTGAGTATATAATTTGTCATTTGTTTAGATGTTTCTCTGACCCATTAGCCAATTTTTTATTTACTTAGATATAGAAAATGTATAAAAATGTACTACTAATAAATGAGTGTAAAAGAATTTATAATTCAAATACTATAAAAGTCAAATATGTATAGAAAATAAAAAGTGTATGAAAGTAATAAAGAATTTAGAATTCAAATACTATAATAAAAGAGTCCAAAATAACTTTAAAAAGTTAAATAGGTATAAAAAATAAAAAATGTGATGAAGTAATATGTGAGTATTATTGACTTATAAAATCGTATATTTTATAATGATTAGATTGCAAGCAAGATTCATTAACACAAATCAGAACTAATTCATTGCAGTTTCAAAGCAGAAAGTATATTTCGTTATTTATACAGTCCACAATCCAAAACAAGATCTTTCCAATTCGTCACTGCATTGATTATTCGATGTGTTGGATTTTGATCTTTTGGTGGAATAAAGTTGTGGGGGAATGTCATATGCATAATTTTTTTTCATTTCTTTATTATGTAACAATCATGCATTTTTTCCCTCTTAATTCTTAACTTTTATTCCTTATAATTAGATTGCATCGAAGGGTAAGGTACATACATCCCACCTGCTTAGGTGTAATTAAATTTTTAAAAACAACAATTAAATTCCCTCGCACCGTCGAGGTTAACCAACGCCCACATACGCCTTTTATAAAATATAACCAAAAACCTCCCTCATCACCCACACAAAACAGTCAACATACCAATTACTTCATCAAGTTCTTCCATAACTTACATTATACATATACCACTCTTGTTTACATTTGGGTTAAATGTTACTGTTATTATTTCAAGGATCTAATCACAAATATTTTGTTATTTTTGTAGCTATTTCTATTTGCCAACTTGACATCCACTGCATCACTGAGGTACTTTCCTATTTTCCCGTCAACCATGGCGGCAATATGCCCATTTGCATAATTTTTTTTACATTACAATTAATTTGTTTGGTAGAAGATATTTAATTTATGTTATGGAGGAATGTGATATTTTTTACCAAACCCCCCTTTTTACCGTGAGATGGATATTTGTTTTGATATGTATGTAATGTTAAGATCTCGTTTTGATTTATACAATGTGGTATGTATTGGTACTTCAATTACAACATTTTTCGTTCACACTGTATTGGTGATAACTATTTTGTATTGTTTTATTTTGATTTTATGAATTAGGTAAACATGGACAGCCATAGCGATGAACTATGTTTTTTACTTACCATTCTGAATAAGAATATTCAAGAGATGGTAATTTTTTTAAATTTTATTGTGGCCCTAATGGTGATGATATGAGAAATGGAAAACAATTCTACGAAAGGTGAGGTCCCACGACCTTTATATAGGAGTCGGTTACAAAATGAACACTTACACCGTCTCATTGGGGAGAGTGACACAACTTGTATTAGTCAAATGAGGATGGACAGACGCACATTTGTTGTCTTGTGTAATATGGTTCGTGATGTTGGTGGACTAACTTCAACTAGAAATGTCAATATTGAGGAGATGGTAGCCATGTTTCTAAGTATTTTAGCCCATGATGACAAAAATAGGCCAGTTAAGTTCAATTTCCTTTGATCGGGAGAAACCGTTAGTCGTCATTTCAACAAGGTTCTAACTGCCGTGTTGAGGCTGCGTCGGAATTTGCTAAAGTCACCAGAACCAGTTTTAGACAACAATAATGACTCTAAGTGGAAGTGGTTTAAGGTAAGTGTTGTCTGATAAAATACTAAATATTTTCTATATTTTAAATATTTTTCTAACGTTATATTAGACTACTTACACGGTGGGAAAATATTTTTATTGTTTTCCTTTATAAAATTGTGTGGGTTCATTAGATGGGACTTATGTTCCTGCCCAAGTCCCTCTAGTCAACCAAGCTAGATATAGAACACGTAGAGGTGGAATAACAACAAAAGTGTTAGGTGTTTGTTCTCCAGACATAAAATTCATTTACGTGCTACCTGGTTGGGAAGGGTCGACAATTGATTCTAGGATTTTGCGTGATGCTGTTACTAGGCCTAATGGCTTGAAGGTTGCAC